GGAAACGCGTTACGCAGTCCGTTTCCTTCAATTTTTTACTCCATGGGAATTATTAGTCTTGTTTCAGGTGTCACATCTTTTATTGAAAGTAAATCTTGAATTAAATTATTTGTTTGTTGTTCAACCCATGCATTGATTCTTTGAACAGCTTGAACACGTTCATTTTCAAAATCTTCTAGTTTAATATCGGCTTTAAATGAACTTTGAACAATTTTTAAATATTCTTCTTGAAGTTGATATGCTTTTTGTGCATAAAGACGATTAGCTAATTTAAGTTGAACTTGTTTATCTTGATTAGCAATAGAAAAGATATTCATAACTCGTTCAGCTGTTTTGATTAACTGTTTTATTGATGATACTTCAAATGTTTTTAACATTTGATTTAATGTTTCTTGTCGAGCACCAACTGTGCACATTGACATCGCAAGAGAAATACTTGCTGGTGAAAGAAATATATTGTCATTCTTCTGATTTTGACTAACAGTTGAATAGAGTTTGAGACCAAATTGTTCGAAGCTTGTAGCTGTTAATGACGATAAAGCCACAACAAGAAAGAGAAGTAAATGGATTACTATCATCAAAATCATATCGTCTTCAAAAAAGACATTTATTTTGTTGAAGAAATGTTTTGCGTTTTTGATAGATATTATCCTAATGTTTCATTTTATTCTCAAAAAAAAAAGGATAAAAATTGTCAATAGAAGTACAAAGAATGATTCCTTGAATGTCAAGACTCTCATTGATTCTATATTTCAAGAATTATCCATTTCTTCTTTGTTAAGAATTTTCATCGCTATTTTAAGCATTAAAAACATTAAAATAATTGCTGTTAAAAACTGTAGCTCTGCTATTAGTATCCCTATGACAACGAATATATTCTTCAGAAGAGTGTGAAACTACAGAACCATCCTAAATTCTTCAATCCCTGATTTTCCTATAGACTTATTCTAGAACAAGACATTTATTTATTCATGAAAGTACATGTTACTATTGCTTATATAGATTTATGTATATCGTAGAGTATAAAAAGTGAAGTCTACTTTACACGATATTTTAATTGTAGAAGAGTCATTTGTATTAGCGTTCTGCATCGGATTAGGTTAGTAAACCCGACAATTCCTTGTTTATATACTACAGTTTTGACGGCTCCTCTCTACTATCAATCCAGTATGTATGATCAACACACGCATCGAACTAACTAAAAAGGATGAACATCGAAGCTGATCTTCTTGATAGGGAACTTGTTGAGTTTACCTACTCGATCTGATGCAGAGCTCTAATTCGTATGAATTATCAGGACAACCAATCAATGGCTTAATCGTACAAATCTCTCTTTACTATTTTCCATTTTCTTAATCGTTTCCTGTTAGATCTAGAGGGATAGAAGTTCGGCAAATGACTGAATGGTGGATCATTACTTTCTTGAAAGAAAAATATGTGTCGATAGAAAAAAGG